GTGAGAGTTATATGAAATAATACAGATATGGCACTTAAGAGAATACAAAACGCTATTTTTATTCGGTCTGAGATATACAGGGGCAAGGCATGTATAATGTTAAGAAAGATAGATAGAGATCTCTAAAGGCAAAAAGAACATGAATATAAAACTCCATAGACGGGAAAAACGAAATTTGCGCCCATGCGCTTCAGTGATTGGTCTGGTCAAGCGTTAGAGATATCGCCACAAATAGATTGATTTGATTATCCAACATCCCCTCTTAAGAAACAATTTGGGACGATCTGAAACAGATACAGAAACACAAACAAACAAAACAATATCTGGTATCGCTCTATAATTTCAGGCTCATTTCTTTCATGCATCTCTTATGCTTTTCTGAAATGAGAGCTTTTGTTAAAACATCAGCTGGTATCTCTTCTGTCGATTGGTATTCCACTTTTATTATTCCTATGACATCTCTGATGTGGTGACATCTGATGTCGATATATTTGGCCCTTTCATGATGAACTGAATTCCTGATCATATGGCCTGCACCTTGATTTATAAATGGTTATTATAGATGGTTATTTCTTGATAAAGTCCCAAAATTTTTTCCATCTACTTCCTAAGATGTACTGTCTCTTTGGCGGTTTCGGAGAATGACATATGTTCTGCCTCAGTGCTGGATAGTGTAACTGACTTTTATTTGCGGGAAGACCAGCTAACTGCCGCATTTACTAACTGGAAAAAGTATTCCGTGTAGGAACGTCTGTCGTCAATGTTGCTGCTCTAATCGGCGTCAAAACCTACTAAGTTCTTTTTAGTTTTCTAAAAACGATTTTTACGTTTTTCCTTGCAAATTTCAAATTCTTAGAACATAAGTTTTGATCTTATTAGGTCATCCTCAGTAAAGAAATTAAATGTAAATTTGACAAAATTAATAAATTGGTTAAAATTATACAATTTATAGTTATGCAAAAAGTTGGTAGTATTTATTCTATCTATCTTCCGCATAATGCAATGTTTTTCGTTCTGGTAATATTATCGGTTATATTCTTCCATTATAATAGTCGCAATAAGTCCATAATGATAAAAATATTGAATTATTAATGAGTCATTAAATAAATAAAAATACCAACACACATTCTATTATCAAATTAATAAAATAGATTATAAGAATTAAAGTAACAATAAATAAATTGTCGTTATGTGCAAAATTATTAATATATACAATTCTTATTTTAATAGACAACTATATTAAAATGTGTTAATAAATAAAATTATTGTACACATACCTCAATTGCGATTGGTAAACCAGGACATAATCAGTAATTGAAATAATGAGTCTATTTAATTCGTAAGAAGCATGCGATCAGAGATAAAAATTGAAACCAGTTCAGTCAAATTGCTTATATTATATTATCAAGTATGAGTGACATTCTATTGCTGTATATTATCTTGTTAAGAGAGGGGATGAGATTGGAAGGAGAATAAAGATAGGAAAGGAACAAAAGAAAAAGAAAAGGACAAAAAATTAGGAAAGAGAAGAAGGCTGCAAAATTTGTAGATATATTATAAGAATTAGATAATGTTTCCATGTCGTTTTGTTTGTTTAATCTCAATTTTTTTTGTGTAAATCATTTCGGAGATCAATCTTTTATTGTACGACGGTTTCTTTGTCTAAGATCTTTACATCTTTCCAAAATTGGTTATAGTTACGGTCAGTAATCACCAATGGAGAACCAGTCTTTTTATTAATGTCGAAATATATTCATTTTCACTTGTTTTTAATTTTCTTTTGACTTGTACGTACATAACTAGCTTCACAAGAAATTTTATATACAACATTTTGATTAGCTAAATGATTTAGTCTATCTTTACCTCTAATTATAAGGTTTTTTTTAATGTATTTGGGATTGAATATGATAGTTATGTATATATATATATATATATATAAAAGCGATTTAAAGGTTATTCCAGAAATAACATTATTTTATGTAACGAATTTATATTTCTTAGTAAGTAAATATTGGAAATAATTAAATATTGAAAAGAATAGAATTTATGAAAATCATCATTGTATTAACATCAATGCTTTGTATTCTATGAAACTATCAGCTTTCAATGAAAATTAAAAAGGTCGTTAGTTCCTTTAAAAAGGTCATAGTGTTTAATCTTTCTGTCAATGCATATTTTTCCTTTTTTTGTCAATTCAATATACATGCATTTCAGAATATAACTCAGAATATACGCAAAAACGTTAGCGATTAAAAATAAGTTTATATTGATTTCTGATATTATTTTTCTTTTGAATTGAATTTTTTATTTTGAAATACTATTTTGAATAAGTTTAATATTAAACCAGCACCGCCATGATTTTTTTCAAAATGTGGTACAAAATTACCATTAATGGTAATTTTTTATAATGGTAATTGTATACTACAATTTAGTATAAAATGAGTATACTAAAAATTCCGATCCGATGTGATTCTACTGATTTCTTGCTAGCTTTAGTCGATAATACGGAAAAGAAAGTAGCTGTTGTAACTATAAAAACTATATGTGATAACTAAATGGCAGGCGTAAAATATGAACAGTTAAAATATAGATATCATAGCTAATGTCTTATCTGTAATATCTATATAGCAGCAACAGTAAACCATTTCGCTGTAGTAATTATGAATTTATAAATTCATAATTACGGCAGCAAATATATTATAACTAACGCAACCAAAATTGCTGTAAAAATGCCTTTTTAAGCGTCTAAAATATGCTGTGAAATTGAAAAAAATGCTGTAAAGGAAGGAATATATATTTAAAAATTATTTTTTTATTGCACAGAGTCTTTGATGATACGTATGACAGAAATATAGAAGACTGAATGTAAAAGCGCGAAATCTTTTTCTCCTTATAATTTCTCTGACATCACCAATGCATCGCGGCGTGTAGGAATCATTTATCTAATCAATTCCTTTTTCAAAAATATAAAATATGTTGTAGCATATTTCTGATTGAGAAAAACTTATCTTAAAGAAAAATCCTATTTATTATTATAAGAAAAAACTAATTATAAATTTAAATTAGAAAAACGTTGTGAAATATACAATCAAAATAGATAGAAAAAAATTAGAAAACGATGTGAAATATACAAAAAAAATAGATAAAATATGTAAATATTGTACACACGGTAGGCGAAATATATAAAAATATGCTCTTATATGCGAAATCTGCTAACATATAGAACTCAAAATACATAATTTCTTATGAATTTATATTTAGTTTATTTCTTTATTAGTCAAACAAAAAAAACATGCCCAATGTATATTTTGGTTATCCTAATTATAACAAATCAAGATTAGTTGCGGCAGAGAAAATCTTTTTTTCTATTTATAAACGACTTTAGGATCCCCTTAAATACGGACAAATTAATAAGTTCTTAGAAAATCTGTCAGAGAGCAGTGTTATATATTACTTGTTGATAAATAATCTCTCAGCTGATGACTGTCAAATTTTGAGCGGAATTCATCGCGTGTAATTTCATTTCTATAGATGATTAAAGCGAACAATCTTTGTATTTTTTGCAAAATAAAAAAAAACGAGTTTCATGCAGTGATCAAACATCTATATATGAAAGATTTAACACCGAAAGAAATCAAAGCCGAATTGGATAATATTCATAGCACATCTGCAGTGTTTGCGACTACAATTGGGTGAATGAATTTAAACGTGGTCATACATCTACATGTGATGCACCTTGTTCGAGACGTTCAATTGAGACTGCTAGAAATCATCGATAAAATCCATGATATTTTTGACTGATCGATAAGTGAAAATGCGTGAGCTTGTTGAGGCCACAGACACAGTGATTTTAATTTTGCACGAACAATTGAGTATGAAAAAGCTATCGGCAAGGTGGGTGCCGTGTTTGTGTTCACTGTGGATCATAAGCGCGACCGTGTGATGATTTCAAAACAATGTTTGGAGATGTTTCAACGTAATCCAGATGAATTTCTGCGTCGATTCATTACTGTGAACGAAACATGGATCCATTACTTCACACCCGAGACGAAGAAACAGTTAAAACAATGGACTTCACCTATGAACTAGCTCCGAAGAAGGCAAAGTTCATAAAGTCGGTCGGAAAGGTGATGGCCACAGTTTTTTGGATATAATTCATATCGATTACCTTCCGTCGAAGCAAACGATCAATGGCGATTATTTATATTATATGGCCTTATTGAACCATTCAACAACATTTTAAAGAAAAAACATCCCCATTTGACGAAGAAGAAAGTGCTCTTCCATCAAGATAATGCACAAATTCACACGTGCCCGATACCGATGGCCAAAACGAATTCCGCTACGAATTGCTTCCTCATCCAGCATATTCGCCAGATTTAGCTCCCTGCGACTATTTCCTGCTTCCAACCTGAAGAAATGATTCGGAGGAAAGAGATTCACCAGAGAGCAACTCATAGAGATAGAAGCTTATTTGAAGAGTTGGACAAATCATATTATTCGAACGGCTTGAAAAAATTGGAAAATCGTTGGAGCAAATATATTGAGCTAAAAGAAGACTATGTTGAGAAATAAAAATGAATCGATCAAAAAAAATGTGTTTTACTGTGTTTTTCTAAAAACTTATTGACTTACTCTCGTATAATATCATTAAATAGATAGAGTCAATTAAAAAAATTTTCGATCAGTCTTTTTCAGTATAGGTATACATACAAAGGAATTTTAAAAAATACTGAATCATGCTTTACAAACATTGCTATATAGAGTTATGAATTATTGCGTACGTGATTTGCATATAACAATCGAAGTAGCAAAGCGTAACGTGACATCGAAATCGCGAATTGAGAACATGGGAATAGATGTGCCTTTTATCCAATAGGAATAATCGATTTCGAGAAAGCGAATCATACAACTCTCGGTTTTTGCAACCTGTCACTTCCGTCGCTTGCTTCTGTAAGAGCCCCAGCTTTTTAGAACAACCGACATGACGAGCGGGGGGCTTCGTTGACGATTGTCGTCATTTTACGTGAGGAGGCGCAGAGCTGATAAGTAGGACATACGCTGCAGCATCTCGGTATTTCATAGTGAACTCGCCATCAAGTCGGACCAAGAGAATCACATCCTCGTGTTTCTTGTTCTCTCGAATTTATTCCACATCAAGGTACTCGTGATCTCGTACATTCGCCGCTCAAGTTGTAAGTCATTAATTCGTCTACTTTTTTCACTTTTAAACTGTCAATTGACAATTATACATACCGCATTAAACATAACTATCACTATAGAATTAAGAGAAAGATATTAGCAATACGCTAGATACTTCTCTGGATATTTAGGGTGAATTATTAGCAATCGACAAAAGGATAGAGTTTTATATTAAAATTTTTCCCTTTAAAATCTGTGCAAGGTGAAATAATTCGAATCATAGAATCATTTTATTCTTTATCCAATAATATTTATACATATATGTGCTACATATTTCTGTCAATTTAAGAAAAAGTTAAATACAATTACGATTACATTGCATGATTACATGCATGTATTTGTATCACTTTGTATAAATTTGTTACGTTATCTTATTTAAATTAAAAATTGCGTGCTGCCTTTCGTTTCGCTCATTGCTTTTTAGATAGATAGGTAAGTAATAGTTAGTTGTCAGATAACAAAAAAGAAAACCTTTCATTGAAACAGAATAATTCCGCTATAATGTTGAAATATTTGTTGTTTGTACAGGTATATTTTATTGTATGATTATAATTTCGTAAAATACGGAAATCTTTTACTTTTATATAAAAATTTAGTACTATATAAAAGTTTATATAAAAATTATTGTAAAAAGGAAACAATATATAAAAAGTAATAAAAAGCAGTTTTTAAATTATACATAGAAAAAATGGTTTTGCCGAAATATCTAAAAATATCATTAAAAACAGATTTAACAATAATTTTGTTGTGAACTATTAAAATAATTATATAAAAAAAGGTTAAACTAGAATATAAAAATGTTGTGCAACATTGTTTATCATGCTTGAGTTTCCTACATAATTATTTTGTTGATCTAACAAAATTATTTTCAAATCTACCTAAATTATTAGCAAAATCTTCTTTTCGTGTAGTTTTATTTATGTGTACATATTGCATACTCTTTTTTTCAGTAGCGTTTTCTCAATTACTTCAGTGATTTAAATAAGATCTGAACTGAATAAGGTCCTAATATATTTTATTTTTTTTAAATTCTATTTATGGGGATTGAAATAAACTAAGTGAGAATTAAATCTTCATTTCATTTATTCTCAAAAATAAAATATATTGTTTATATAGAATATATGTAAATGAACGAAAAAAAATTTTATTAAACTCTGACATTGACTTATTACATGTATATAAATATGCATAAATATATAATGAAGTCCAAATAAAAAATAGATTAAAAATAACAAAAAAGGTTAATATTTTCTTTCTAAATAAGTTTTAAAATGATTATTAATCGTAGAAATAAAATTCCTTAGAACTTACTCTACTCTCAAATATTACAATTATCTTTAATTTTGTAATTAATTCTTCGGAAATTTTTAGCAATTTGAATGCAATTTTGACTTCTTAAAAAATAACAGCATTGAACATCTTATTCTCTGGCGTAAACTCCACATATAATAAACAAATAATAATAGCTATAATAAAAATACACTAGCTATAATAAAATCATATAAGTGAGCCTTATTTAATAAATACATTGTTTAAAAAAAAAATGCTTGTACTTATTTCAAAAAATTTATTTATTAGTTATTTTTCATTATCGTTATTTTATTTAGTTAAATATTTAGTTATTTAGTTATTTAGTTATTTTATTTAGTTATTTAGTTAAATAATATTATAATAAATTATGAAACATTGTATACTGGTAAATTTTGCAGCGGATTGTTATAAAAATAGTTCATACTAGCCTTATATACATAAGTTTTTATTATATTAAACAAACGTGTTGCTACCGATTCAATCTGTATTGCTTCCAATTCTTTAATCCTTTTTTATCTATTTCCTATGACACATCTTTTAAGTATATAGTGCAGAAAGCAAGTTTTAATGTAATAAATTTAAAAGTGGACCTTATTTAGTGCCTGGGCCTTATTCAATTCAGGTACTTAGATGCTACTTAAAAATAAAATCTTGCCTAAGTATAGCGATTGTACGTCAGGGTGAATTTTTTGCGACTGATTCTTCTTTCCATCTGTTGCTGACAAATTTCCTATATGGCACACTTTCTTGAATGGTTGTCTTACCTATTAGAGTGAAATTGAATAGAATCTCATATTATATATATTCTAATATATATATATATATTCTAATAATTCTTAATAGACTTGATACACGCGACATAACATATAATCATATGAATATTTCCTCTTAAATGTAGGCAGACATCTTTTTCTCGATCAGTCAATTTTACGAACAAAAATTGAATGTACAGAATCTGCAAATTAACAAAGGCGAAAATTACTAATAATAATAAATAGTTTTTAATTTATGCAACACACACAGTATGAAAACTTCCACGCAGGTGGTATATGACATGTCTGTGACATGCAGCAATAATTCGTTATATAATAATTCATTTTTTTAGAAGAGACTCATATTTTATATAAATTTGTATAAGATAATATAATTGATGTTTGATATTTTTAGATATAGATGCAATAATATTAATATAATATTAAGTAAAGTACAAAGTTAATTTTCCAACATGGTCAAATTCCATCTTATTAATATACATGTGTTTTCTGTATGACGCACGCAATGATTTAAAGAAACGCACTGTGTATAATACGTAGTTTCGAGATCAAAGTATAGTAAAGCGACTCGTATGTTAGTGGGTGAGAGTAATTTCGCTGTAACACAATTATGTTGCAACATTTGTTCATGTTTCGTTTGTATGCAATTCGTGAAACTGAAAGTAAAATTATGGAGAAATGAAAATATAGAAACAGAAAGGTAATATTAACAAAATACCGACACGAAAAGAAAATTTCCCTCATTGCAGTATAAAAAATAATTATAGTAATCTTTCATGAGCATCAAACTTTTTATTGTATTATTTTCGCATGTTTATATTATTATTACATTATATTCTTTATTATATTCGCTTCAAAGAATATGATATGTAAAGATTTATTATTCAATCGTATTATTCTAATCGTTAATCAATTTTCGAAAATGATTCCATTTTCATAATCTATGACATCGAATAAATGTTGTGATTTATTTAAGATGAGCTAAACCACGATGATACATTCGGGATACATTAATATACTAATTTCATTCTGCAGCTTCTACGCATGTTACTTTTTGCAATTAGTAATTGTGTTGTATATAACGAAGGACACACGAAAGCGCATCTTTCTAAGAGAAGCAAAATTTATACTATTTTTGGAAGGTCTTTTGAAGAATGTACATTTGTTATATTACTTGAATTGCAATTATTGAATAAATATATAGATGCGATATCACAAATTAAAGAGTACGTTTCGCCTTGAGAGAAAGTTGTACGTTATTTGTTAGACTACATGTAGCAACATACGTTGAATCTCAAGAGAGAAAACGTTACGTGCTATAGGATTAGTAGGTCAGTGTTACTCTTTAACATCCTCCGTTTCTTTTCATGATTATCGATGAGCATCTGGTTCATTTTCGGTCATTAATAATTCGAAAAATAATCTATCTTCATTTATAATAACAATTAAAAAATTATTTCTGCGTTTCAAATTTTTAATTCAATTATCAATAATTCGTATTCAATAATTATTGTTTTTTGCTTCATCATATTTCTCTGAAAAACATCATAATTATTCACTCAATGATTGCGTTCAGCAAAATGTTTATTTTGCAACTGCAGGAAATTTTCTTTGCTCAAATAAGACCTCTGAATCTAAAAATATAATCCAATCAGTGCAAAGAAAATTTAAAATCAACAATTGTAAAATAGACATTCTGTTGAATAGCCAATCATATCTTGCAGCATATTTTTATTTCATAAACAAATAACAAAATATGCTCATATGCAACTCACTAGCTTGTTGCATTTGTCGTGATGGTTATAAAAATCACATTGCGGTCAGTTTTTGTATAATTTCCTTATCGTATAGCAAATGCAATGAAACCTGTCAGAGATATGATACTACACGATCCCGTCTAGCATGCTTCAGACCTGTTATAAAAGTCTAGGAATTTCGATCCGCAATTGGCAATGACCTTAAAGATGCCATTGGCCTGCTTTCCGGAGAACCTGTTCCTGCTCAAGCATAGCATTATTTATGTTCTTTTTCGTTTCTCTACCTTTCCTCCATCATAGTCCCCCTTTCTCCACCTTGAACGTTTTGTTCGACTACATGTACCGTTTTGAAGTGCCGCAAGCACTTTTACTGAGATGACACTTCTCCGTGCCGAGCCTACGTTCCGGAAGAGAAACGCACGCGTAAGTGCAACACACTGTGAAGCCTGTTCAATCTAGAAGTAATTTCGATTGCATTTAACGTTGGATTTTACATATTATTTTTATGATTATTATGTGTGTTATTATTAGCTTCAAGTTAATTATCTGTTAATGAGTTAATTATACCGTATTAATTTTATTTATTTTGTTCATTTATTTATTCAATTTATTTACTTTATATTTTATATCTAGAAAAAATTAATTTAAAAATAAGAGTTTTTTATTTTAAGATATATTTAACTTGTACATTTAACTTGTGACATTTTTATTAAGAATTGAATAGAAGTGAATTGTAATTTTAATTTAAAGCTGCTTTATTCTTGTTGTAGACTGTCCTATTATCATAAAATCGTGTTGATTATGAGTTAGGAAGATATATATTTTCGACAGCGCTTTCACGAGGATTATTCACACCCATTCCTTACTACTTGCATGACAGCAATACAGTTGCAAAAAGCGACGTGATAGCTGTACTACTGACTTGTGAATTCGTAATTAACCTTTAGTTACGTAGATCTTTTCTCTTTCAATCACTAAAGTACAAGAAAAATGATATTTACTATTGGTATGTGCGTTGAAAAACAAAAATGAACTTGTTAATTAATGATAATTAAGAAACAGACAGATTTTATTTATTCGCTTGTATTTCAAATTAGCCTCGAATAAATACTTATTCGAAATACAAGCAAATACAATTAAACGGACAATATA